GTTTAGGGTTTAGGGTTTAGGGTTTAGGGTTTAGGGTTTAGGGTTTAGGGTTTAGGGTTTAGAGCTACTTACTTGGAGGTTCAAAATACTAACTAACCAATTGTAACTGTACTTATCACTGTACTGATAAGCATATTAGGGCACTTAAGGGGCTTATAAGCGGGTTATACGTACAGTTCTAATTGGTTAATAAGTACCATGAACCTCCAAGTGAGGGTTATACCTGGGACTCTTTTAGCTACCCAGTACCGTTTTATGGGCTATACCTACTAGTTCCAGGGTAGGTACTACTAAACTCTGGGTGAATAGAGTCCCAGGTAAGTGTTCTAGGAAGTTTGGGGCTCTCAGGGCTTTTAAGGGTTTATCGGGTTGTAGATTTTGAGGTTTTAGGGTTTGGGGTCTTAGATATCAGGGTGTTGGGGGGGCAGAAGGCGGCAGAAGGCCTCGGTCGAAAACAGCTTAAATGCATTTCGCACATGGAGCTTCATGCGTAAGCATGCACGGGGGTACCCCCAAACAAGGGTGGACCTTCTGACCGGCCATAGCATCGCCATAATAGCTAGCTTACTTTAAGCCCTAGATAGCCTACACTTAGAACTACCATGAGCCTCCAAAAGTAAAACCAAAACTTGGCACCCCAGTATATAGCCATTTTTAAAAACGGGTTGCTAAATGAGGGAACCCTAAACCCTATACCACTGGGCTACCAGGAAAGCACAAAGCACAGGTCAAAATCGCACCCTCATCGGGCCTGAAGGTCAATCCGGCGCCCGTTGCAAACCTTCCACATGGGAGTTGATCTGAATACATAGGCCCTTTCGCGTACCCTAAACCCAAAACCCAAAACCCTAAACCCATGAAAGAACAAAATGCATGGAAACCCTCTAAGAGGGTCCGAGGTGAGCACCCATGCGGCGGCCGGTGCGTTTCCTCCCAAGTTAATGCGACAAGCAGCTGAAGCCCTGATAGGGTTTAGGGTTTAGGGTTTAGGGTTTAGGGTTTAGGGTTTAGGGTTTAGGGTTTAGGGTTTAGGGTTTAGGGTTTAGGGTTTAGGGTTTAGGGTTTAGGTTAGGGTTTAGGGTTTAGGGTTTAGGGTTTAGGGTTTAGGGTTTAGGGTTTAGGGTTTAGGGTTTAGGGTTTAGGGTTTAGGGTTTAGGGTTTAGGGCGGGAAGCATTTTGGCCGCGCGCATGCAAAGCCTGGCGCAAACGCCCAGGCCTAGAGACGTCAAAGTGGCCAACAGCTGCGTCTCCTCGATGTGGGGCTGGATGGGAACCCTGATCTGGTCAATACAGCAACTTCAAACCCACACGTGGTTTTCAAGATATCCTAAACACTAAACCCTAAACCCTAAGCCCCAAGCCCTAAACCCTAAACCCGAAACCCTCATTCTGCTGCGTCACTTCGGCTGGATAGCACGCATTTTTGACTGTCCTGTGGTGGAACTGTCGAGGCCGACAGACTAGCCTCAGTGTTTAGAGGGCTTTTGCGAGCTTCAGAGTTTCGGACTTATTGTGGGTTTCCGGTGGATGTAAGGCAGTTTGGGGAGTTCCTGCTAGTATGAGGGTTTCTGCAGCTGTCTCCCCGCCCCCCCCCCCCCCCCAAAAAAAAGAAAAAAAAAGAAAAAACACCGTCCAGTCGCAACTGCACACCCTACAAGCGCCTAATCCGAAGCCCCCAGAACCTCCAAACCCAAACCTTTAAATACCCCAAACCTGTTGAGCCCCAAAAACCCCAAACCCCAAAACCTAAACCCTAAACCCAAAAACCCTAAAAACCAAAACCCCGGCTTAGAGGCTTACTTTTTGGAGGGGCTTCATAGGGCGTTGTAGGGCAAAGGGGTTTTGCAGGGCTTAGAGGCCTCTTTGGGGGGCGTTGAAGAGCTTATGGGGCTTTGTAGGGCTTGCAGAAACTACACAGCTTAGAGGGCGGCTGGCGAGTTTCTAACTGAGACCCACAAGAGGCAGCCTAAACCCTAAATCCTAAATCCTATAATCAATCCTACACCCGATAAACCCTAAACCCTAAACCCTAAACCCTAAACCCTAAACCCTAAACCCTAAACCCTAAACCCTAAACCCTAAACCCTAAACCCTAAACCCTAAACTCTAAACCCTAAACCCTAAACCCTAAACCCTAAACCCTAAACCCTATCCCTAAACCCAAAACCCTAAGGTCCTAAACCCGAAACCAAGGCTCCCCGACTTCGGCTTTCGCCCGCAGCTGGAGTTCGACCTTCTTCTCCACTGCCAGCCTCGTGGGACCATGACCATGTGCCGCTTTGTTTTCTCTGCAATTCAGGGATGTAAGGGGTTTAGGGTTTAGGGTTTAGGGTTTGGGGTTTGGGGTTTGGGGTTTGGGGTTTGGGGTTTGGGGTTTGGGGTTTGGGGTTTGGGGTTTGGGGTTTGGGGCTGGGGCTTAGGGTTTAGGGTTTAGGGCTTAGGGCTTAGGGCTTAGGGCTTAGGGCTTAGGGTTTAGGGTTTAGGGTTTAGGGTTTAGGGTTTAGGGTTTAGGGTTTAGGGTTTAGGGTTTAGGGTTTAGGGTTTAGGGTTTAGGGTTTAGGGTTTAGGGTTTAGGGTTTAGGGTTTGGGATGAGACTTCCTTAACTCAATAGGGACCCCCTCTGTAGGGTGACTTCTTTCTGGACACCCCAATACAGACTTCCAATGACGGTAAGGGAGCCGCATATGGGCCTTTCCCAAAATAGGGGCACCCCTCGCATACCCAAAAATACGATAGCCCTCGATAAAAAGGAGTTACCCTAAACCCTAAACCCTAAACCCTAAACCCCAAACCCTAAACCCTAAACCCTAAACCCCAAGGAGGGCCCTTTGACTTAAAGGGCACCGGAGTCTCTTCAGGCAAGAGTGGGAACAAGCCTACTAAACCATCGGGCCCTTGAAAAGTTCAGGGGGGCCTACCCTGCCCTCTGTAGAGGTTTAGGGTTTAGGGTTTAGGGTTTAGGGTTTAGGGTTTAGGGTTTAGGGTTTAGGGTTTAGGGTTTAGGGTTTAGGGTTTAGGGTTTAGGGTTTAGGGTTTAGGGTTTAGGGTTTAGGGCTTAGGGTTTAGGGTTTAGGGTTTAGGGCCAGTTTAGGGTTCAGGGTTTGGGGTTGCAGTGATATGTGGGCTCTAAGGGCCTTCAGCCGGAAAGCAGCATGAGTACCCTGAACCTCCAAGCAGCACAATAGTTGGGTTCAAAATGCCCGAAATCCCAAGCCCGAAAATGCCCAGAACCTCCAAGCAGTACAGCAACTGGGCTCTAGGTACCCTGAATCTCAATTGCCTAAACCCCAAACCCTAAACCCCAAACCCCAAACCCTAAACCCTAAACCCTTAAACCCTAATAGGCATCTTCAGGGGGGCAAAGGAAGCTCCGCCCTTGCCCTCCACGGGCGCCTGCAGAGATCTGCGACACGCGCTGCTGTCAAGCTGGGATCTTGCGCAGGCGTCGTGGAGGCAGAGAAGTTGCTAAGAAGAGCCCCTGGTTGGGATGCTCCTACTTGTGCTAACGTCCTTAATCGGGATTTCTATACTCCCTACTGAGGACTGCTAGCATAAATGAGGGGAACATCCCAAAGTTTTGGGGTCTAATGAATATAGAGGCCTTGATAATTGGAACAGGGTTTGGAGACTATTGTAGTAGAAGTATATGGGACCACAAGGGAATACTAGTGGGAATTCTTCCGACCCCTGTACTAGGCTTTACATGCGTGTGGGATTTCGGGATAACGTGGGTTTTCCGTCGGGTTTTGGGGTTCAAGGGTATCGTTTGTTTTTTTCTCGATTCGGTGTATAGGGTATGACTCTAAACCCTAAACCCTAAACCCTAAACCCTAAACCCTAAACCCTAAACCCCAAACCCTAAACCCCAAACCCTAAACCCTAAACCCTAACATGACGCCCAGAAACATCGCTGCGCAAGCAAGCCGAACTGCAAAGAGGCTAAGGCCTGCCGACAGCGCCGCCGGCAGAGCCAGGCCCATGAACTTCAGGAAGCTGAGCTTCTGCCTGGCCCTAAACCCTAAACCCTAAATAGGGTTTAAGGTTTAGGGTTTAGGGTTTAGGGTTTAGGGTTTAGGGTTTCGGGTTTAGGGTTTAGTACACCCTAGACTCCAAACCCTAAACCTTAAACTCTACTTAGACTGACGGCTTTGAGGCTCCAGGGCTTTAGGCATTTAGGCTTTGGGGTCTGAAGGCTTCATGGGTTTGAGGGGTTTCAGGTCTTAGTAGGGCTTTGCGGGGGCATTGGAGGGTTTAGGGTTTAGGGTTTAGGGTTGAGGGTTTAGGGTTTAGGGTGCAATTTCCGGGTGTTGGGGCGTGGGAGGCCTCTAGGATGAAGGCTTTAGAGCTTTTGGGGCCCTTGTGGGTTTAGGATTTAGGGCTTTGGGGAAATACCAAAACGCCTAGAGCCTCACAGCCATTTAGTCTGAGTCGGGTTTAGGGTTTAGGGTTTAGGGTATAGGATCTAGGGTTTATAGTTTTCGGGTCTCAGAAGTAGAGGTTCCGATCTGTTGCCCTGCCTCTTTCTTAGATAGTAAACGATGATGCAGCAACAGGGGGGAGGGGGGGCGGAAACAGAACGCCCTCAGCCCCCAGGGGGGGGGGCTCCTCAAGAAACTATACCAAATTTAGGAATTTTGGGCCTTGCGGTTTAGGGGTTAGGGTTTAGCCCTAAACCCTAAACCCTAAACCCTAAACCCTAAACCCTAAATTAGGGCTCAGAGCCTGGGATGGCATGGGTCTGTAGATGGTTGAGGCTTAAGGCTTTGGATGGCTGGCTTAGGGCTTCAGAAGGCTTAGGAATCATAAGCCTCTGCTGAACCATGAGTGGCTGACAAAGCTGGGGAGCTGACCCAGACTCACAATAGAATGCGGCATATTGAGGGTCCCTGTTATTCGAAATCTGTAGGGTTGGAAGGGGAGAGGGTTGGTAATCCTCTCTGAGGCAGCCCACACTATCGCTGACAATCCTGGTGGGGGCGATTTTTCCCACATGCGCAGATCAGAGGCGCGACCGGGCGCCCTGATCCAGTTCCAGCCGGATCTGTGTCACCTGAGCTTGGCCTACTTGAGAGCTCTTTGCGTTTTAGGGCTTAGGGTTCAGGGTTTAGGGTTTTGGGGTGCTTAGGAACTAACCCTGAAGCCTAGGATTTTTTGGGCAAAGGTGCTTAAGCAAGCAACTGGCACACATCAGCGACAGACATCAGAATGCAACACCCTCCGCCCCACACTCAATAGATTCGCTGATTCGCATTGAGGGTTTAGGTATCCTCCTCAGGCTGTCTTTTTCTTAGGGTTTGGAATGTTTTGGGGTGAAAACTCCATGGACCCTTCACCAGCCTCCGCGCCCCATGCAGTTTAGGGTTTCGGGTCCAAGGTGTCGGGCCGAGGGAGAAGGATTGGGGGGCTTAAATCTCAAACCCTTAACCCTAAACCCTAAACCCTTAACCCTAAACCCTAAACCCTAAACCCTAGCTAAGCACCCACAAACCCTAAACCCTAAACCCCACACCCTGAAGCTCTGCAGAGGCGTCGGCCACATCTTCTCCCCAGCCGACGTCCACAGCCACAGCCTCCAGGAGCCCTGGCACGGGCGCGAGCTCGAGGCACCTCCCGGTTCAGGGCATTAGGGTTTAGGGTTTAGGGTTTAGGGTTTAGGGTTTAGGGTTTAGGGTTCAGGGTTCAGGGTTTAGGGGTTACGGTTTCGGGGTTACGGTTTAGGGCTTATTTTAAGGTCTTCGGGTTAGGGCTTCAGGGCTTGTAGGATTTAGCGGGGTTAAAAGCTTCACAGGGTCAGCACCCTAAACCCTAAACCCTAAACCCTCTGCAGTTGTTGAATGTTTGGGAGGCCTTTACGTCAACAAGGCAGAGTCCAGTTTCTCACAGGGAGCTAAGGGGATGTGTTGTTTGGGGGGACATACTGTAAACCCCAAGAAGTTGGAAACCTGTTTAAGGACAAATTGTGCTGGGATTCCCTATACGCTACTCTTAGGGATTGAGGCTAATTATTGAGATTCCAACTTTTTGGCTTCTACTATAAGCCCTGAGAAAGCCTTATGTCTAAGACCCCAAACCTCTAAACACACGCAAGGACAGCGCGAGCAAGCCTAGGACAAGATCACCAAAATTCCGAAGCAGCCGAACACCCATGAGCCCCGAAAACCCTTGAGGATCCAAAAGCTCGTCAAACTCGCAAGATACACATGGGTTTAGGGTTTAGGGTTTAGGGTTTGGGGTTTAGGGTTTAGGGTTCAACCATGCTCCAGAGCCTCGCCGCGGCCGGCTCGGGCTTTGCTTCACCACAGGCCGTCTCGAGGCGCTGTAGGCTCTGTGTCACCCTTAGGGGAGGGGGGAGGGGAAGGGGGGTTAAGGTTTAGGGTTTAGGATTTAGGGTTTAGGGGCTGAAGATTTGGAGTTAAGAATCTGGAGCTTTGGATTCAGGATTTAAATCTTGCAGTTCTGGGTTCGAGTGCTTTGGGCTGGGACCTACTTGTTTCATGTCCTAGGGAGACTTGGGATTGACCTTAGGGGCTGTATTGGGGCTTAGGGTGTAAGCAGGGTTTAGGGTTTTGGGTTTAAGGCTTGGGGGGTTGGAAAGGTTCCAAATGACTTACTACTCGACTACAAAGGTACTACTCGACGGCAAAGGGGAAGAGTCAGACCGAGTTCAGAGTTCAGAGGTTAAGAAGTTTGTGGGTGGGATGTTCCCCCTTATACCAACAGTCCTTACTAGGGATTATAGTACCCCTTACAGTACCCCTTACTATGATCCCTATTAAGGACTGGTATTATAAGGGGGAACATCCCAACTTTAGGGGCCCAACGTCGGATGGCTTGATGGCTTGAGCTTGAGGCTTGGAGGTCCTACGAAGAGGTTGGTACACAGCTGGCACAAGTACTTTTTTTGGTTTAGTGTTTAGGTCTTAGGGTTTAGGGTTTGGGCGTAAATACTCACAGAGCAACAGCGCCCCTAAATCCCTAGACCCAAACCCTTGCCTCTCTGCTTGGACACCTTGCCGAGCAAGGGCCAGGAGCAAGGGCAGCCAACGCTGAGCCTTTCCTGCATTGGCATCTGGGAAATGGGTAATTCACCCTAAACCCTAACCCTAAACCCTAAACCCTAAACCCTAAACCCTAAACCCTAAACCCTAAACCCTAAACCCTAAACCCTAAACCCTAAACCCTAAACCCTAAACCCTAAACGGCCAAAAGAGACCAAATTACGGAACTGACCACGTGGTGATCAACAATGGTATACTCAGTAGGAAAGCTTGTCAGGGGCCAAGGCCGGGCTAATAAGAGAAACTTGTGGCTTGCGGCGGGTCGTTCAATTTTAGTTCTGTTCAATGCCTGCCAAGCCAACAGGCACAGAAACTTCCACTCCCTCACCACCTAAACCCTAAACCCTAAACCCTAAACCCTAAACCCTATACCCTGAACCCTGAACCCTAAACCCTAAACCCTAAACACAAGCAGGCCTGGTTCGGGAACCAGCGCCCAGCAAGACTGCATGGCCGAAGCCAAGGAGTCCATCTCGCGTGCCGTGGTCGAACTGATCTTGCCTCCTGGCAGGTCTGAAGTAGCTGTTGGTTGATAGGGAATGAGAGTATACCCCCCTATATATACCCTGTAAGGGATTATAGTAGGGGACCTCATTCCCTCATTCCCTACTAACCAACAGTCAGTAACACGTCCACAAATCTGAGCGTAGATGCCGTGCAGCCTGCATTGCAGGACACACTAGTCATGGTCCCCCTAAACCCTAAACCCTGAACCCTAAACCCTAAACCCCAAACCCCCCCTTTTGGATTCCTGTACTATATGATACAGAGCCTGAGATGCTTACATCTAAGGTACACAAGATCGCTGCCTGTGATTGTGCCTTGTCAAGCGCGTTTCCACGCACACCCTTTCTTGCAACTGAACCGGTTTAGGGTTTCGGGTTGGTTTAGGGTTTAGGGTTTAGGGTTTAGGGTTTAGGGTTTAGGGTTTAGGGTTTAGGGTTTAGGGTTTAGGGTTTAGGGTTTAGGGTTTAGGGTTTAGGGTTTAGGGTTTAGGGTTTAGGGTTTAGGGTTTAGGGTTTAGGTTAGGGTTTAGGGTTTAGGGTTTAGGGTTTAGGGTTTAGGGTTTAGGGTTTAGGGTTTAGGGTTTAGGGTTTAGGGTTTAGGGTTTAGGGTTTAGGAATGAGAAGATGTCTCGGGCTATCAGGCTTCTAAATATTCAGGGCAGGTGCAGGAGTAGGGTTACAAGAACCCTAAGGAAGGGTTTTTTGCCACCCCTACCCTACATAGAACTTATAGACCCTCCCTTTACGCACCCATGAACCTCCCAGTAATGCTCAGCTAAACCCTAAACCCTAAACCCAAACCCTAAACCCTAAACCCCAAACCCGAAACCCTAAACCCGGCCTACTGATGCCACCAGCGGAACGGCCACCACCTGGACCTCGGGCGTGCTCTTCTCACGCCGGCGCTCGTTGACAGCAGCGCCTCCGGCTTCGGTCTCGGCCTCGTGGCTCAGAGGGTCTACTTGGGGAGGGGTTCATGGGTACTTAGAAGCAGGGTTCTCTAAGTAGGGCGACTGTACTAGTTGGGGGGGTTCAGGGGTACTTCGAAGCAGGGTTCTAAGTAGGGCGACTATAGTCATCATGCTTTGTGACCTTATGTGGGGCACTGGTGGCCCTATTTTTTTTTAATCTCCAGATACCGACCCCCTTCATATGGCACGTTCCCATAGTTTCCTCCTTCCTGCCAACAAGACGGCGCCTTATGGTTCGAGCATACGGACAATCGGGAAACTGATTCGCGCATTCCTCCTTCAGTGTCAGTTAAACTCAACTCACGCTCAAACACTGAGCCCCCAACCCTTATCCCTGATAACCCCGAAGCCCTAAAGCCCTGAACCTAAACAACCCTAAGAGCCGCAAACCCTAAGCACCAGTATCTAGCTTCTTGGCTGAGTTTTATAAGGCAACCAGGGCGGCAGAACCTTCAAGAGGGCCGAAAGGGTTACCTACTCAGCACCTACGCAAAGAAAACCTGATCCGCAAAACCCGCATGCCCTGAACCCTGGAACCTTAAGCGCCGGCGCGCAACCCCCCAAGTCACACCGCTGCTGAGACGACCGTGAGCCCCCTACTCTCAACTCTCTGCCCTCAGCCTTGCAAGAACCTGAAACCCTCTAAAGCCCTAGACCCTAAGGCTCTAAACCCTACAACGCTATGACCTAAGACCTCTGCACCCTAAATCTCTAAATCCCTAAAACCCTAAAATCCTAAAATCCTAAAACCCAAAACCCTACAACCCTAAAACACCTATCACCCTAAACCCTTAAAACCCAGCACCCCAACACTCCCAAAAGAAGCCCCCAAAAATGGGGTGGAGTTTTTTTTTGGGTCTTTTTTTTTTGGGGGGGGCCTTTTTTTTTTTTTTTTTTGGTCGATTTTCTTGGTTTTCTCTAGGAAAAACCTACTTTCCTTACATTTTGGACGGATTTTCTGTCATTTCCCTTAGGTTTTCGTTGGTTTTTCATAGGGAAAAACCTATTTTTTTACATTTTGGACGGATTTCCTGTAATTTCCCTCAGGTTTTCCTTGGTTTTTCCTAGGGGGAAAACCCTATTTTCCTTACATTTTGGACAGATATCCTGTCATTTCCTTCGTTTCTTGGGCTTTGAAGCACGCTTGGTACGGCTTAAAAGAAGCGGGGGGGGTTGGGGGGGGGGGGCGCAGCCCCCCCACTTGCAAACACCTCTTGGGCTTTGAAGCACGCTCTGCGCGGCTTCCAAAAAAAAAGAGCGGGGGGGTTGGGGGGGGTCTCACACGATGCTTTTCAACTAGTTTCTTGGGCTTTGAAGCAAGCTTGGTACGACTTAAAAGAAGCGGGGGGGGTTGGGGGAAAACACAGCCCCGCTCCCCCATTTGCAAACACCCTGCTCACATGACGGGTGTCAACAAGTTTCTTGGGCTTTGAAGCACGCTCTGCACGGTTTGAAAAAAAACGAGGTTTTCGTTGGTTTTTCCTAAGGAAACCCTCTTCTGATTACATTTTGGACGGATTTCGTCAAACGTCAAAGCGTACGTTGCTTTTCCTTAGTTTGTCCTAGGGAAAACCCTATTTGGTTCGTTTTCTTGGTTTCTATCATTCCCTCTATATTTTCATCGGATTCATACTTTTTTTTCAACTAGTTTCTCGGGCTTTGAAGCACGCTTGGTACGGCTTAAAAGAAGCGGGGGGTGTTGGGGGGGGACGCAGCCCCCCCCCCCCATTTGCAAACACCCTGCTCACATGATGGGTGTCAACAAGTTTCTTGGGCTTTGAAGCACGCTCAGCACGGCTTAAAAAAACGGGGGGGTTGGGGGGGGCGCAGCCGCCCCCATTTGCAAACACAATGCTCACACGATGTTTTTCAACTAGTTTCTTGGGCTTCGAAGCACGCTTCCTTTCTTCCTTCCTTGCTTCCTTCCTTTCTTCCTTCCTTTCTTCCTTCCTTGCTTCCTTCCTTTCTTCCTTCCCTCCTTTCTTCCTTCCTTCCTTCCTTCCTTGCTTGTTTTCTTCCTTTCTTTCATCCTTCCTTCCTTCCTTCCTTTCTTTCCTTCTTTCCTTCTAAAACCTACCAGAAATAACGCTTTCCTATGAAACCACAGAGAAATTACTGTTTTTCGTACGAAAAACCACGAAAATGCATCAAATCCTTTAAAAATATGGAGGGAATGGTGGTTTTCTTAGGAAAAACCAAGAAAATCGACCAAAAAAAAAGGCACAAAAAAAAAAAGACCCAAAAAAATATAGGCCCTCCCCCAAAAATGCAAGCCCTCCCCCCCCCCCCCCCCCCCCCCCCCGCAACAGCCCCTAAACCCTAAACCCCAAACCCTAAACCCACAACCCGAAACCCTAAAGCCTAAACCCTAAACCCTGAACCCTAAACCCCAAGCCCTAAACCCCAAACTCCCAAGGCCGCTGCTGAAACGACCAAGGCCCCCATCTGCGGCCACAACGCCGGGCCGAAAGCATCCTGCAGCTCCTGGGCCCGGCTTCCATGTTTTTGAAGGGGTTTAGGGTTTAGGGTTTAGGGTTTTGGGTTTTGGGTTTTAGGTTTAGGGCTTTAGGGTTTAGGGTTTAGGGGGTAGGGGTTAGGGGTTAGGAGGGTTTCGGGGTTTTTGTTTTAGGTTTAGGGTTTAAGGTTTAGGGTTAAGGAAGGGTTAGGGTTTCGGGGTTTAGGGTTTTGGGCGTTCATGTATGGCGCTTAGCTGGCAGAGAGATACATCTGTTCTGTGTTTCGAAGCACTGCATGCCAACGAATTGCTTGAGGGCTCCTTTACCCTAGCCGGACAGGCGAGGGGGTTTGCGCACACCGTTTTTTCCACTGTGGCAGAGGTGGGAATTGAACTGCTCAACAAACACACAGCTGCATCCAGAATACCTCCATCCGCACTTGCAGATCTGGTCGGAGGAGCGCCAAAAAGTCCTGTTCACTCTGGAAATGAAAAGGTGAAACACAGCTGGGTGGCCACAGAAAAACTGTTATCATGTTCTGAATGAAATGCACATGGCGGCACATCGCCTTACGCAACCAAGACCCTTGAAACCGTGCAATAAAACCTTGACCGTGAGGAAATCAGGACGCTGTATAGGGTTGCAGCAACTTTACGGACAAGGCCAGTGCCCCACCGACCCAGTTCCGTCCGCCACCGTCGTCGCTCGCTGGCCCCAGTCTTGCAGCAGGGACGCCCCTGCCTGCCGAGGTGGCACACGCATGGACCCGCGGGAAATGTGGGCAGTTCTCTGAACTATGCCACAAACCGAGTAAGGGGTATAATCCCTAAAAACCCAAGTAGCCCCGAATAAACCCTAAAAAACCCCAATGTCCCTTTAGTCCCTGGAACCAATCCGCCACCCTAAACCCTGAGCCCTGAAACTCCTTCCTTCGGCCTTCTCGCGAAGCAGCGGCGGTCCTGACACGCCCACTGCCAAGCCTCCAAGCGTGCTTTGATTCTTCAAGGGCTTGGTGTCAGGGGCTTGGCCAAAACCCCAAACCTTAAAACCTCAACTTTGGGTCTTTAGACGTTTACAAGGGTTTTTTGGGGTTTTAGGGACTTGCGAGCGTAGGGTTTTGGGGTTAGGGACCTGGGCCCCCCAGCGCGTGCTATTTCTGGGTGCTCTACCCTACATTTAGGGGAGGGAGGTTTAGGGTTTAGGGTTTAGGGGGGTGTAGGGTTTAGGGTTTAGGTTTTAGGGCTTAGGGTTTAGGGTTTCGGCTACAGGCTTTAGGCTTTAGGGTTTAGAATTTAGGGTTGTGTCATACCACGGCTCTTCTCACGGCTCTTCTCACGGCTCTTCTCACGCAGGCACATACCACGGCTCTTCTCACGAAGGCACCTGGCGCTTGAAACCGCACGGCACCTTCCAAACAATTCGTCCGTCGTTGGCCAGGCGCTCCTGCTTAAAGCCGAGCTCGTTTAGCGCCTCGGCTACGGCCTTGACGGTGAGGCCGCTGCAGTCAACGAAAGCCAGCTTTTTGAGCTTGTCCAAGACGTCACTCGCCGCCACAGAAACCTGGTCACGGAACAGGAGCATGCAGCTGCATGTGTCTCATGATGTCCACCAGGCTGTGCTCCTGACCGTTCTCCTGCTCCTCCTCGCGTGGCACGAAGCCGGCGCCGTCGCAGGAGATGCGGCCCCGGGCACGCGGCGCCAGCTGATCGAGGTGGCGCCGGTCTTTGGGTCCAGATGGAGGACACGCCAAAGCACTTGACCAGCGGGCGCGTTCGCCTGCTTCTCCTTGGGTCAGCGTACCACGCCCCCCAGGTTTGTAGTGGGCCGCGGACTTATAACTCGCACCTGATGGTGAAGCCGGCCACGGCGAAGGCTTTGCTCGTCTGGATGTAATCTGACTTGCGTGCGAACACCTCGGGATAGTTGAGGTCAAGCGAGCGCCGGCGCACGATCAAGCTGTCCATGATCGTGAACAAGGCTCGTGTTGTAGGCCAACTGGGGTCTGCAGCACTGCAGGTTGCTGGAGACAAACCCAGCCAGGTGCCCCCCGAAGGTGTGCAGCCCCTTCAGCATCATAGCGCGGCGTACCGATTTCTTAGGATTTCGGAACACCCTCACTCCTCAAACCTCATTGGGCTAAGGGTTTAGGACGTTGCCTCTGAACATGCCCAAATAAAATGCTGCACGGCCAAATCACCGCGTCCTGATGTTGGACACGCTTTAGTGTAGGTAGCCGCTATTAAGCGTTTTTCCGGAAAAGTTATAGAGGCCCCCCCATGGATGAGGGCGGTCCGCAATTATGCGAAGTTCGCGGCCCGTCGATGAAGGGCGTGGGCCCGGCGGGGGGCCAGGGAGCCAAAGACCAAAAATAGTTTTGAATAAGAAGCTCCGGAATTTTCTGGTGTCCGGCTTTACTAAAAATTCGTTTTAAAAGTTCATTACGAAACAGGCCCCCAAACAATTTTCCAAGGGAGTAAATATCCCACGAGCTGCCCTGATTCGCGCTTTAGTCATTGTTTCGATTACCCGCACTAGTCCGCAGAGGACCCACGACAACCCGCCCGAAAATTGTTTGGGGTGGGGGTGGGACCCGGGGCACTTGCGCCCCACACCCGGCGATGCAGGATGCGTCCACCCCGCCATCAGACGTAAGAGAGCAAGGTGCGCAGCTCAGTGGCATCAAGGGCGGTTGACAACACTTGCTGCCTCACAGGCACAGGTTGAGGGGGGAGGGCAGAGTCAGGGGCCACCACCGACTTGTAAAGGGCTGCCGGGTGGGCGAGGTCCAACACGTACTGGTGCGACAGCGCAGCTCAAGCTTCGGAGCACGAGGAGGCGGAGGCCATGTATGCTGCGGGGGGAGGTGTAGGGTAAGTGGAGGAGCTAGAGGTGGACTGTGAGACACAACGCTTGGTTTGTGAGTGGAGGCAGCCTAAACGCGTCGATGGTGTTTGAAAATTTTCAGCAAGGCCTAAACCCTCCCAAACCCTAAACCCTGGGCCCAAACCCTCCCAAAACCCTTCTAACCAACACCCAAAATCTCTCGCACAAGCCCGCCGCGAGGTGTTCCAGGTCCCACACCTCGACATGCCATGGCAGCGGCCACAGTGAGCAAAACCTGCTGGCAAGAAGAATCAAACCCTAAACCCTAAACCCTAAACCCTGAACCCTAAACCCTGAACCCTAAACCCTAAACCCTAAACCCCCCCTCCCCTCCAAACCACGAAAACCTCAACCCTATTCCAGACCCTCCTCCTGAGCCCTGAACCCTAAGCTCCAACCAACCCTACGTGTAGGAAACCTACATCCCAAACCCGAAAGCAGTGCAATATATTCACATGCTCCTGCGCCACAACATCGCCTCCACGCTCAAGCTCAAGCTTCTTTTGTTTAGGGTTTAGGGTTTAGGGTTTGGGGTTTAGGGTTTAGGGTTTGGGGTTTAGGGTTTAGGGTTTAGGTTTGGGGTTTGGGGTCTGCTGGCCCGGTTTCGCCTTGTGCCCCTCGTGCAGCCGATCGAAAGTGCCGCCCAAAACGACGTGATCCTCGGCTTTTCGGACGTGAAAATGCAGCACCGAAGAAAGAGAACACGGCACGCAACAACCCCTAAACCTTAAACCCGAAACCCCATCCCTAAACCCTAATTAAACCCCAAACCCTCGAAACCCCCTACCCCTAAACCAAGCCAGGCTGCAAACTTCTGCCCCCGGAAAATGCAGGGTGGAGCCTGTTCCGAACCTGGTTGGAGGGGTTTGGAGGTTTCGGGTTAAAGGTTTAGGGTTTAGAGTTTAGGGTCTAGGGTTTAGGGATTAGGGTTCGGGTTTAGGGCTTAGGGTTTAGGGCTTAGGGTTTGGAGTCTGCCGCATCAGGCTCACGGAGAGTGCACGACGACTCAGCCGCCTCGTGCACCCAGGTTGGGCAGCACAGACATGTCCTGACTCGTGGGCCTTAGGGGTTTTAGGTTTTGGGGTTTTAGAGTTTAGGGTTTTAGTTTAGGGTTCAGGCTTCAGGGTTTATGGTGTCGGGTCTAGGGTTTAGGGTCACAGCGATGAGACATGATAACGACACATGGAGATGCCCAAAAAGGCCATCAAAGGGATCTCTAGCTATCTCCCTAAGCAAAGACCCTGAAGACGACTCAAAAACCCTAAGCACCCTCTAAACCCTGAACCCAGGACCTGTCACTTATTTGCTTACAAGTACCCCGAAACCCTAAACCCTAAACCCTAAACCCTACTTGTAAGTACCCATGAACCTCCAAGTACAGCTCCGGACTCGCGTCCTCGAAGACCGGAAGCTCCTCGTGGCGAGCCAGGGCACCCAAATGCTCGTAGCACCTGCACTCCCCACAACTTTTTTTTGGGGCTTCCACAGGGTTTTGTTGTAGGCTTTTTGTGAGATGCTTGTAGGGTTGCTCATAGGGTTTAGTAGGGCTTTAAGGAATTTACTAGGGCTTAAGTATAGGGTTGCAGGGCTTATAGGGGCTTCATTGAAGGCTTAAAGGGTTTGTAGGGTTAACTAGGATTCATGCGGTCTACGTCTAGTCTAGTGCTCCCTTAGGGTTTACCAAAACGAACGTAAAACATCGCAAAAAACAACTGCTGAGGCGGCTACAGGCGCGATTGCAGCAGCTCTGCGAGGCCTCCCGCGGTCTCAAAGACTCCGTTGTCTAACCTGAGGCTTGGCGCAAGTGAGGGTTTACTTGCAGGTTCATGGGTGCTTATGAGTAGGGTTACAAGTGCCCTAGTAAGGCTATAACCATAGTTACCCCACGAAGATCCCCACTTAAAAGTACCCATGAACAGGTTGAAGGGTCACACACCCATAGCTGCGGCCACTCTGGCCGCAGTTTCTTGCAAGTTTGCTTGCCTGCATTTGCTTCCAATGGCGACTTACCAAAAGGCTTGTGCATTCATTTGCATATCTAAGGGCACCTGAGATGACATCGTTGGCACAGGAACCAGAGCCCCATGAAAGTGAAAGGTGCTGCACGACGTGGCGTTTGCGCATTACCCCCATGCGTGTGAAGGTTCACACACGCTCACACACACACATGTTTTTTTTTGTTTTCTCTCTCTCTCTCTCTTCCTCCTCTCTGTCTCTGTCTTCGTCTTCTGCTTTTTCTTCTTCCTCTTCTCAGGGGGGCTTGGGGAAGTACGCCTCCCCTTCCTCTCTTCTGCCGGGCATGAGGAGCCTCGTAGGACCCCCGCGCGCGCTCGAAGCACGCCCGAGCACGATCCTGCTGCGAGAACTTCCATCCCGAGTCGCCCATTGCGTGGAACCCTCCCACCGTTGAGTACTCCAAGCAACCACACTGCACCAAGCGTCTCGGGGGAGGCCTTTCGGTCCTTGAAGAGTCCTTTGGCCCCGGCTGGGCTGCTGGAGTGTGCAAAGGTCGGTCTTAACTCTCCGACCCAGACCCCCGAATTTCAACCTTGTTTCAAAACTTTCCCGTCCGACCGACACTTCTGCAGCCTGGATCAAGAGGACTGAGGTCGAAGATTCCAGTACTCACCACCCCCTCTCTCTCTCCCTCTCTCTCTCTCTCTCTCTCTCTCTCTCTCTCTCTCTCTCTCTCTCTCTCTCTCTCTCTCTCTTAAACCCTAATTCCTAAACCCTAAACCCTAAACCCTAAACCCTAAACCCTAAACCCTAAACCCTAAACCCTAAACCCTAAACCCTAAACCCTAAACCCAAAGGTTCCTTTTGGAAGCCATGGTGCCAGAGGCGGAGGTGGCGCGCCTTTGGCGCCTTGGCGACCTGGTTGCGACAAGGAGGTTCGCTGGAGGTCATCGTCAGGGGGGCCCTGGGTCAGAACTTGGGGATTTTCGAGCTGCTTAAAGTTGTTTATAGGGCTTCAAGGCAACTTTGGGCTTTGGAGTTGTTCAGAGGTTCATAGGGTTTCAAGGTAATTTAGGGTTTAGAGTTGTCTAGAAGTTCATAGAGTTGCAAGGTAATTTGGGGTTTAGAGTTGTTTTTGGATTGTAGGGTTTCAAGGTAGCAAGTTTGCACCATGCATCCCGTCTGCTCTGACACATCTGCACGACGTCAACCCTCGGGCCGCTAAGCCCTAAACCCTAAACCCTAAACCCTAAACCCTAAACTCTAAACCCTAAACCCTAAACCCTAAACCCTAAACCCTAAACCCCCAGCCTGCCTCCTCTAGCAGATCCTCACGGCACAGAGAGGCGTCCACGCGAAGCTCCGCGAAGAAGGGCTGGGCGGTGCAAGAAGCTTTAGCTGCACCGGCCAAAAAAGAAGGCTGTCACACATGCTGTCGGTTTAGGGTTTAGGGTTTAGGGTTTAGGGTTTAGGGTTTAGGGTTTAGGGTTTAGGGTTTAGGGTTTAGGGTTTAGGGTTTAGGGTTTAGGGTTTAGGGTTTAGGGTTTAGGGTTTAGGGTTTAGGGTTCAGGGTTTAGGGTTTAGGGTTTAGGGTTTAGGGTTTAGGGTTTAGGGTTTAGGGTTTAGGGTTTAGGGTTTAGGGTTTAGGGTTTAGGGCACTGCCCCTTGTCCGAGCTACATGTCGGATTGGTCCTGCCTGCGACTCCAGGCGGGAAAGCAGCTCGCGCGCCGACATGGTCACCACCCCGGTGTCTTGAAAGTACTTGGAGGATCGGGGCACTTAGTAAGTAGGGATAGAAGTACCTTAGTTGGGGTCGGGTCATAAGTATAGTATAGTTGCCTTAAGTAAAGCTCCACATACTAAGCCCCCTGATCCTTTAAGTAGTCGTGTGCTGCGATTTGTGCGGTGTGCAATCGACAATGCTTAAACTTTCGTTTTGTAAGGTATTCTTCTAGCATACAGCTATAAAGTTCTAGCATACACCTATAAAGTTTGATGGTAACCACAGGGCTACCTACTGGGCTGCTAGATCTCTTGAAATCCAGCTGCGGTCGGTTTGGGAGTGACGCCCTAAACCCTAAACCCTAAACCCTAAACCCTGAAGCTGCAACCCCCGAACCCCCA